TCAGACGCAACCAAGTCCTGTTATGTCAAGTATAGGATGTTTCTACAGACCCAACCAAGTCCTGTTATGTCAAGTATAGGATGTTACTACAGACCTAACCAAGTCCTGTTACGTCAAGTATAGGATGTTACTACAGACCCAACCAAGTCCTGTTAGGTCAAGAATAGGATGTTTCTACAGACCCAACCAGTCAGTTAACATGACAACTGTATGGTACAGTCAGTCCACATGGCAACGGTATAGAACAGTCAGTCAACAAGACAACGATATGAAAAAATCATCTGAGAAAGGATTGGAACTTTCAACTTGACCTGACCAAAAGATAAACAGTCACTCAGACAAATATATATAGCAGTCATTATAATTAAGGTAACGAAACAGTCAGACAACACGACAAAGGTTTGCAGCCGTCTATTTGATAAAGATAAGGAAAATCAACACAACCATAATATCAAACAAGAAGGAAATGTACAAAATACTAAACATGTTAAAGCGTGTATGTGGTCTGAGCTGCTTTAACAAGTACACGCATGTACTAAATTCTTGACGACGGAGTAGTTAAGGAATTTACATTGAGCTGCAAGGTTATATATTGGTTGTTGCAAATTTATTTATCCGAGAACACAGAACAAATCCCCATTTTCAGGTATGCCACAACGTTTTGTGAAATGTAGTATTGATTTACAAAATCACAGGGTCACGTGCCATAAAAAGGAGAAGAGTGTGATAAGGTACCTGCGGGGCGTAATTTTATTCGACAGGAAGCTTTGAACGAGAAGAGTGGCCATTAGAAAATTTCAGAATGATAACCTGGACCATATCAATCTTTGTCGGACTATGTCTGTTAGGTAAGTACAAACCGATAGCTAAATTCAAAACTCTGACCCGACCGACTGTTTTAACCACAGTAGAGTGCATTTAGGGATGTACACCTCTGAGAAGTCCACGGTTTCCTGTATTAAGCTTATTTTTTATCTGATATGCATTTTTTAAGTGAATGGTTTCGGTTTTGACCATTTGCAGGACATATCTTCCAATTGTGCTATCAAATATGTATGAATGTTCGCAGAATTGACAAAAATAGTATTTTCTTTAAAATAATGGAATTTCTTTAACTTATTCTTTTAACGCAGAACAGCAATTTCATTTACCACTACCCCTTATTTTAATGACAAAATACTCATTTTTCACCAAGTTATGCAGATTGAACGCTTGATATAAACAGTTCTGCTATTGAACTTTTTTTTAAAATATTTAACAGATCAAAAGAAAATAGGTTTCTCTCTCTAAAATAGCCAGAAAAGTGGGAGGTCCGTGTGCTCCTTTTATTTTACATTATTGTTTGTGTCACTTTTCACCATTTCAGGGTCAAAAATCAAAAGTTCTTCAGTGACACTAAATATGTAAAACAAATAATAAAAATATACAGTTTTCCACTAAGTTGCGTATTTTTTTTTTTATATATGTTTGAACATCATAAGGTTGTGCAGCAAAAATGAACTGCATTTAAAATTCGAACCACAATGACGATTTAAGTGTGCAATCCATTGTCAAAAAAGGTAAAATTTTGGTTTCTCGTAAAGCACAAGATATACAATTTTTCAAAATGGCCGCCAAATTGCTCATTTTTAAAAATTCTTGTTAAATAAAGTTCTACAAACAACATGCATCTAGTTTTGTGACACATTTATCAGCTTCGTGTTTGTTTTTAAAATTGATCGTATTTATTTTAGATGTCTAACATACAAACCGCTCCATGTAGTCACACCTTTGTTAGATATCTAATACACAAACCGACACATGTAGTCACACCTTTGTTAGATATCTAGCACACAAACCAACACATGAAGTCACACCTTTTGTTAGATATCTAACACACAAACCTACACATGAAGTCACACCTTTGTTAGATATCTAACACACAAACCTACACTTGTAGTTACACCTTTGTTAGATATCTAACACACTAACCTACACTTGTAGTCACACCTTTGTTAGAAATCTAACACACAAACCAACACATGTAGTCACACCTTTGTTAGATATCTAACATACAAACCGACACATGTAGTCACACCTTTGTTAGAAATCTAACATACAAACCGACACATGTAGTCACAGCTTTGTTAGAAATCTAACACACAAACCGACACATGTAGTCACACCTTTGTTAGAAATCTAACACACAAACTGACACTTGTAGTCACACCTTTGTTAGATATCTAACACACAAACCGACACTTGTAGTCACACCTTTGTTATCTAACACACAAATCTACACATGTAGTCACAGCTTTGCATGTTATCTAACACACAAACCGACACTTGTAGTCACACCTTGGTTATCTAACACACAAACCAACACATGTAGTCACACCTTTGTTAGAAATCTAACATACAAACCTACACTTGTAGTCACACCTTTGATAGATATCTAACATACAAACCGACACTTGAAGTCACAACTTTGTTAGAAATCTAACACACACACCGACACATGTAGTCACACCTTTGCTACAAATCTAACATACAAACGGACACATGCAGTCACACCTTTGTTAGATATCTAATATACAAACCGACATATGTAGTCACACCTTTGTTATCAAACACACAAATCTACATATGTAGTCACACCTTTGTTAGATATCTAACATACAAACCGACACTTGTAGTCACACCTTTGTTAGTAAATCTAACACACAAACCGACACATGTAGTCACACCTTTGTTAGATATCTAACACACAAACCGACACATGTAGTCACCTTTGTTAGAAATCTAACATACAAACCGACACTTGTAGTCACACCTTTGTTAGAAATCTAACACACAAACCGACACATTTAGTCACACCTTTGTTAGAAATCTAACATACAAACCGACACTTGTAGCCACACCTTTGTTAGAAATCTAACACACAAACCGACACTTGTAGTCACACCTTTGTTAGATATCTAACATACAAACCGACACTTGTAGTCACACCTTTGTTTGTAAATCTAACACACAAACCGACACGTGTAGTCACAGCTTTGTTAGATATCTAACACACAAACCTACACATGTAGTCACAGCTTTGTTAGATATCTAACACACAAACCGACACATTTAGTCACACCTTTGTTAGAAATCTAACATGAAAACCGACACATGTAGTCACACCTTTGTTAGAAATCTAACACACAAACCTACACTTGTAGTCACACCTTTGTTAGAAATCTACGCACAAACCGACACATGTAGTCACAGCTTTGTTAGATATCTAACACACAAACCTACACATGTAGTCACAGCTTTGTTAGATATCTAACACAAAAACCTACACATGCAATCACAGCTTTGGTAGATATCTAACACACAAACTGACACATGTAGTCACAGCTTTGTTAGATATTTAACATACAAACTGACAATTGTAGTCACAGCTTTGTTAGATATCTAACACACAAACCTACACTTGTAGTCACACATTTGTTAGATATCTAACACACAAACTGACACATGTAGTCACACCTTTTGTTAGATATCTAGCACACAAACCTACACATGTTGTCACAACTTTGTTAGATATCTAACAAACAAACCTACACTTGTAGTCACACATTTGTTAGATATCTAAAACACAAACTGACACATGTAGTCACACCTTTTGTTAGATATCTAGCACACAAACCTACACATGCAATCACAGCTTTGGTAGATATCTAACACACAAACTGACACATGTAGTCAAAGCTTTGTTAGATATCTAACATACAAACCTACACATGTAGTCACAGCTTTGTAAGATATCTAACACACAAACCTAAACTTGTAGTCAAACCTTTGTTAGATATCTAGCACACAAACCTACACATGTTGTCACAACTTTGTTAGATATCTAACAAACAAACCTACACTTGTAGTCACACATTTGTTAGATATCTGACACACTAACCGACACATGTAGTCACACCTTTGTTAGATATCTAACACACAAACTGACACATGTAGTCACAGCTTTGTTAGAAATCTAACACACAAACCTACACATGAAGTCACACCTATGATAGATATCTAACACACAAACTTACACTTGTAGTCACACTTTTGTTAGATATCTAACACACAAACCTATACTTGTAGTCAAACCTTTGTTAGATATCTAACGCACTAACTTACAGTTGCAGTCACACTTTTGTTATCTAATACACAAACCTACATCTGTAGTCACACCTTTGTTATCTAAAACACAAACAACACATGTAGTCAAAACCTTTGTTAGATATCTAACACACAAACCTACACATGTAGTCACACCTTTGT